ACACGAAAACAAACAAATGCTAATGGGTAATATCTGCTTTAAAAACTCGTATCTAGGAAACGCTAGCTGACTTGACAAGCGGCGCATAAATAAAACTTCTTCCGAAGTACCTGCTACACAGAATCTAGCGGAAAGTTTTCCTACTTCTAATAGTTTAACACTGTAATACTCCGTAGAAGAGAAGTCTACAGATTATAATTGCTCTGCGCTATGCATCCTCAGCAAGGGTTGCAGAACAGCCTCAGCTGAAAGGAGCTGCAACTCCCAAGCACTTCGGAACATTAATCACATCAACTGAGAAAGAAAATTCTTGTTTGCGGTGCTGCCTTCCAAACCATGAATTTCATCTAAATAAAAACATAATAATTCGCTTTATACATCACAACACACAGACTGCGTCTCCCTTGCTAAGACCAAATGGGCAATGCTGTTCGGGAACATAATCTCCGTTTATTCTGAGAGCCAGAAGTAAAACATAAAATACATTCTGCGGGCAAAACGCCGAGTTTTTAAATGGTAAAGTAACTGATGCATTACAGAGGCCAAACTGCTTTAAAGGTTTAAGGGAACAGAAAATTCTCTCACTGTCTGATGAAATTTTGCAATTTCTGAGTTCCAGAATCCCTCAACTGTAAAATATAACGTGAAATGGGCACGGTGAAAAAGTGGAACATGTCCTAGAATTACAAGATGAATTACAGACATAGACTCCTTTGCACTGTTGCTACAATCTGGCGAAATCACTCTTCAACGTTTACGGATCCCCAATAACGAAGCATCTCGTCCGTCCGCCCGTTTGATGACTCTTTTAAGAACGTCTACATGACAGACACACTAATTTATCGTCTGAACTAGTTTGTCAGAGCGTTATCAACTTTATTAAAATTATTGAACTGTTACCATATTAGTATTAAAAAAACTGCACAGTTGTCCCTGTGCTTATCTACGATAAAGTGGACGCAAAGCTCTATCGTTCTTACGCTCAGTACTACTAATCAACTTCATGGAGCTTAGCCCTTCTTGAGAAGCCGCCAATTGTGCTGCTGCTCAAGAACTTCCCAACATTTTATGGAACCTGGAAGTTCATTACCGTGTTCACAAGAGCCCTACACTGGTCCCTATTCTAAGCCAGATCAATCCAGTCCATACCATCATATCTTATCTAAGATCCATTTTAATACTACTCATCCACCTATGTCTTAGTCTTCCTAGTGGTCTCTTTACTTCTCGCTTCCCCCAATATCCTACATGCATTCATCTTCGTTCTATTCGTGCTACATGCCCTGCCCATCGCATCAACCTTGACTTGGCGAAGAGTACAAGTTATGAAGCGCCTCGCTCTCAGACCTTCACGCCCCTGACGCTCAACCCCCGGCGCCCATTGTGTAGGTAGCGGGGTGTGCCCCAGCTAGTCTGGACATTTGGAGAGAAGACGTATGTTGGCCAGTTTGTAGGCTAGGCGCTATACTGAGTGAGCAGCACCGGCCAATTGTTACTGTTATTCATAACGAAGGGCTTCACAACTTGTACCCTGCACTAAATAATATTAGTATGAGACAGGCGGGTCATGTAGCATGCACAGCAAGTTTGGGTAATGGATAAAGTTTTGGTCGGGAAAACCTGAAATTAAAATACTGCTTGGAAAACCTGGAAGTGGATAGGAGGATAATATTAAAATGACAGTTATTTCGTGACAACGAACAATGGTGAGCTCTTACTTACGCGGTAACATACCTTTGGGTTCCAAAAATAAAATCAGAAAAGTCTTGACTAGCACAGCATCTATCAGCTTATGGCATTTATTATTATTATTATTATTATTATTATTATTACTATCATCGCGGTAGCGTAGTTGGTTGAGGGGCTATGCTACAAGCCGGAAGGTCGCGGGTTCAAGTCCCGATGAGGTCATTGGATTTCTTTCAATTGACCTAATCCTTCCAGCCGCACTAGGCCCCTAGGTTTACTCAGCCACTAACAGAAATGAGTATCAGGAATTTTCCTGGGGAGTAAAGCGCGGCCGGCGCGTAAGGCTGACAACCTTACCGCCATATTTGAGCCGACTGTCTAGATAATGTTGGACCCTCAACGTCTCACAACCTTATGGGCCTTCCGGCGTGTTACAGGGATAGCTTTATTTTTTTTATTACTATTATCATCATCGTCATCACTGTTAATTATGTGGCACTAAAACCCGAAGATCCAACAAGGTTAATACTAAATGACCGAGTGCGGATTCAATTCTAGCCAATTCAATCCAAACTAATCTATATAACTTATTTCCCAATGATCCATCTTAATGTAACCCTTCTCATCTCTTCTCAGATCTTCCCAGTTACTGTCTTCCAGAATGTGTCTTCACTCAAATTTTGCGTTCTGTCGCCCCATCCTAAATGCATGCCCCGTTCGTCGTAATATCCTATATTTCAGCATCCTAACAATCATACGAGCCCATCACAGTGGCCACGCTGGCTGAGGCATGAACTGTGTTCGCTCGCTGGAACACTGGGGTCATGGGTTCGAATCACTCTGGAGGCATGAATGCCTGCGTTTATTCTGTTTGTGTTGTTCTATGTATATTTAGTGGTCTTGCGGCGGGCTGGCCGCCTGTCTTGTGTTCCTACTGACTACGTATTTTTTCCTCACTGGCTCTACAACCCAATTGGGCTCTGGTATCTGATTTTCAGTTCCATCATCATTTTACAGACGGTAGGACTCCTTGGACGGGTGATCAGCTCGTCGCAAGGCCTCTACCTGTACACAAACACAGAAAAACGCACACACATATATACACAGTGAATCATAAACTTTACTTTAGAACCATAAGAAGATAAGAGGTAAAGCTATCCCTGTACCAGGCCGTTAAGGCCCATAGGGTTGTGAGACGCTGAGGGTCCCACATTATCTAGACAATCGGCTCACAGATGGCGGCAAGGTTGTCAGCCTTACGTGTCGGCCGCCCTTTAGCCCCCCAGGAAGATACCTGGTACTCATTTCTGTTAGAGGCTGAGTCGTCATCAGGGCCACAGTGCGGCTGGAAAGATTAGGTCAATTTAAAAAATCCACCTCATCGGGAATCGATCCCGAAACCTTCCGGCTTGCAGCATAATGCCTCAGCCAACTACGTTACCGCGTACCCCGGAACTATAATAATCAGTGAGCAATAACTTGACAAGAATTCCAACATTCCGGTGCTGTAAACACGAGCTAACTGAAATTGTGTCCACAGCTAACAGGAGACAATATTTCGTAACGCCATCAGCCGAAGTGTGTACATTTCGTTGACGTATAAATTCTGGATTCGTGACGGAACGCGTAGCTTCCATAGAAGTGACACAGGCACCCAAGATCTGAATATAAATACACAGTCTTCACCAGGGAGCCTGATTCTTAGTGCTCAAAACGTTGCCTATAAGTCAAGGAGTTTCAATCTGAGAAACGGACTCCGCTTTACGTCTTATGCAGATACGAAGTGGGTAACCAACTTTAGAACAGAGGGGAAAAATAACGACATTGCAGCAGCGGTTTTAACATACCTCTTTGGGGGCGGGGGGACCCGAGGAAAGGAATTCCCCTGGAGAATAAAATGTTCTATAAATAAAGTTGCTGCCTGACTTTCTCGGCTTGACTAAGTAGGGGCGAGACACTAGAGGAGAACTCTTTTTTATTTAAATGCTTGACGGAATATTAAAAAAACTATCAATTCCAAGGAATCTTCATAAAGAAGATCCGTTACGTTGCAAACCAAAACGAACAATATGTAAGTTTTGAGGTTTTCACGGCGATGACTATGAAGAAAGTCGTCTTCTGGGATGTGGCGCCGTGTATTCTTGGTTTTAACCGACGTNCCTTCAAAACGAACAACTTTCGATCACTCTAAATAACAAACATGTGATTCTTGTAAAGCTTAATGTTCCAAATTTCTGTATGAGATTTATAGTTTTTCAAACCTTAAAGCACTGCAAGTCGCAACGTAACGGGAATGATATGACGTAACGGTTATTCGACCAATCAGTGCATGACCTGACAATTTACAAACCGATGGTTCAATATCAGACACTATTCTGTCCAACTGCTTTACGCTTCATTACATGAAGTCATTAGATTCTAAAGTTCTATTTCTTCTTTTCTCCCTCACAGTCCGATCCAATCCGTAACATTTCCGAACTCAGGCCCATACAAAAAGCAGGGCATGGAATCGGTACACCGTAAGGCCTCTTACACATGTGGGACAAACCAAACGCCCCGTGATCAAATGAGTAAACCTCCTGCTTCATAATGTGAGATGCCGGGTTCATATATCCGTTCGGAGACCGGTTGTCCTCAGTTCCAGCAAACAAACGTGAGGAAAGTACCTCAATTTTCATCATGGCCACTTCCTTCAACCTTTCCAGTTATTAACTGGCAAGTCTAACATTCGATAGCATACAGTCTGGACTACTCAAAGCGTCGTTAAATAAAAACAAACTCCGTGGTTTTAGTCCGCAAGCTAACTCTATCGACCGAGAACTGAGGAGCTATTTCAAGGAAATAGAGGCTCCGGTCTAGAAAACCGAAATCAACGACCGTGGGGATCCATTGTGCTGATCACGAGACACTCTCTATCCGCTAAAGTTGGCACTAACTTCGTCGACAAGCGGCGGTCGCTCGGTCGGTCGTTAAATAAACCAAAAATAAATATATACGAAAACACACGGGGCATGCTCCAAGCGGGAACTGGAAGCCGCAATACCAAGAACTAGCTTTCTGTGCCCCTAGATCAAGTTACTGGTACATGAAACACCTCTGAGGTTACGTCATGTCTTGACGTAGCCAATCTCACGAAAGGAAAGTCCTTGGTGCTCAAGGATATAACCGGTACAGCCATTATGGTTTCTACTGCACGTTGAAAATACACTCTGGTTAATTATGAAATCATGAAGTAACTCTCTACGTCACTATCTGATGATAACGTATCCTCAAAGATAGGGTAGATACAGTATACAGCTCAATGTACTCACCTAATGGCCATGCTCTTGGCTTTGAGATGGTGCCACCGTTGGTTCATCTCGTCGAGACGTCGCTGTAGCATGACGGCGTCGTCCTGGGACGCCAGACTGCTAAGCAACTTCCTTCCAGTGCCGTTGAGAGAAGCGAACACATCTCTGTGACTCTCAATTTCAGACTGTAAGTCCTGCAACAACGGAAAGGCAACACTGTAAAAAACCCACCCAGATATCAATATTTATATCAGTATGAATAATTCACTAAATGGCAACCTAGTATTACTTTCATGTTTTCCAGAAACGTATTTGTTATTGAATATTTATACATGACGGCCGGAACCCACAACGCGGGGCCTCGACGAAGAGCGAGTGCAAAAGGATATAACGACAGAAGTATCACGCAGTAACAGCCACGCTCAATATAATTTCCGGCGTCCCGATACTGTCACATCGGCTTCATCCAGTAAATGCAAACTACTGAGTTGTATTTCCTTTCCGTAAAATGTTCAGCATCGATACTGTGACTGCATCCGCCAGATAATTCGTCACACATTCCCACTAAACCTTTGGAGACGCAATGTCTTCTAAATAACTTACGAGTATATATATAAATTCAGCTCGTACCTCACAGGAAACACGTTACGTCTCCATGACAAAGCCAAACCGGTTAAGGCTGTTCAGGGAAAGAATCGCTGTTTGTTGTGAGAACCATACAAAGATACAGATACACTCTGTGGGAAGAATGCAGAGTTTTAGTATGTTAAAGCACATGGTACATAGAGAACAATCAGGCTTTAAGCAAAGTGATTACACAGGCCTCTGTACCGCCTGTTTTAACATTCAAAAAACGCCGCATTTTGACCATAGAATATGCGTTTCCCGTGTTCCTCAGACGCATAAACAAATTTTCTGGCCTTTAATGGGCATATAGTGTTCTTTCTCTGATGTGTAATTATTATTTTCATTAATTTCAGGCTTTGAAGGGTCGCTGTTTCGACCAGTTTCAAGACTAAATAAACTATTCTTCCGGGTACTTCGGTTTTTCCTGCTAATTATAATTCCATCAAATGAATACTCATCTGTCATTTGGGGCTGGTACAATACGCCAGTTAGCGGCCGACGTACCAAGTGGACTGAGTCTCACACCGCCCAAAGAAACCAAAAACAAACCCCTGCATACAAGCCTTATTTTACTTCAGTCAGACTGCGTGGCAGCTTACGAAATACGTGGACAGTCAGAGTATCGATTAGCTCTGTGAAGAATGGCATTGGAAATGTGTATTGCAACATACTGACATCATAGTCAACGGCGACGTAAATTCGGGTAGGACGCAGACGCCGAAGTGTATCTACGTAGGGCGATAATGCTTCATGTCATAGTGTAAACGTATTCCCCGCGGTAGAGCGAGCTTTGCCTAATGAACTGCTGTAAGGTGAGCCGCGCCAGCACTCGAAGCCTCTATCTTGCAATTTCGAAGGGCAGGTTTGTTGCAAATGCACGAAAAGTAGGGGTGGGGGTGGGGGTGTCAGGAAGTATGCTTATGTCTAAAGTTTGAGAGCAACAAACGAGCCATAACTGTTCAGCTCATCATAGTAACTAAGGCGAAACTGTTTCTCTCAACAAAAGTTGACGTGTTGCATTGACAGACGAGCAGCGGATGCTTCGCTCAAATTCCAATATGAACTAGGCTCTTTTCACGGTTCCAACTGCAGAGACCTGAATGGGCGTGCTTACTAATGCCATGAAAAGCGACAGAACTCCTTGCTATGAAGTTCGTTATTTATGTAATAAACCGGTATGTTGCTTCTTTCAGATTCTGAAAGCATACCAATACGGACCAGGAGAATGAAGAGAACAAGGGAGACACGAAGAAGAAAACTAGACGTGTGAAAGGGACGAAAATAAAAGAGTGGGAAGAGACACGAAGACGAACAGTAAGAAAAAGTTTAGAAACTGAAAAAAAATGGAGATTGGAGAGGACTAAGAGGTTAAGAAAGGAGGAGTAAAAGTAAAGCTATCCCTGTACCAGGCCGTGAAGGCCCATAGGGTTTTGAGACGTTGAGGGTCCCACACTATCCAGACAATCGGCTCAAAGATGGGGGTAAGGTTGTCAGTCTTCCGCGCCGGCCGCGCTTTACTCCCCAGGAAAATTATTTAATTAAATCCTGGTACTCATTTGTTAGAGGCCGAGTGAACCCCAGGGCCCAAATGCGGCTGGAAGGATTAGGTCAATTGAAAAAAATCCAATGACCTCATCGGGACTTGAACCCGCGACCTTCCGGCTTGTAGCATAGCCCCTCAACCAACTACGCTACCGCGTGAGAAAGGAGGAGAGAGAAAGGAAAAACGGACAGATGCGGAGAAGAAGAATATTAAGAGGACGAAGTAGAAGAGAAAAGGGAGAATAAAGAAACAGAAAGCATAGGAAAAAGAGAATGTAGACCGGCAAAAGAAAAAAAGAGACAGAGTGGGCTAAGACAAAAGAGAAAGAACGGGGAAAAGGAAGATACGCAAGGGAAAAGAATGGAAGGAAGTGGGAAGAAAATTATTATTATTATTATTATTATTATTAGTAGTAGTAGTAGCAGCAGTAGTAGTAGTAGTAGTAGTAGTAGTAGTAGTAGTAGTAGTAGTAGTAGTAGCAGCAACAGCAAAATAGTAATGGGTTTAGAGGCGCTGTAACAACATGGTTATTCGCCCCTACGAACAAAAGATACGTAAGAAACAAACTACTGTCGTGTCACGTGGTCTTCAGGTGCGTCCCTGTTGCTCAGAAAACAAGCACAGCGAGTAAACTAAGGCCCCTATGACGAAAGGACACATAGAAATATTAATCTACACCATCGCGCTTTATAATCAGGCCTGCAACGCTTTACCCTCGGTACGTTGCAATTCAACAACTGATTTGATATTTGTAGCGTCCTGAATATAAACGTGATAGGCCTGATCTGTTAACATCCAACATACAAAGCTGGCTGGTGCAGCGGTAACGTTCCAGACACATTCGGGAAGTATCTGGTTCGCATCTCGGCCGGTACACAGGCTATCCCGATTAAGCAACGACCGCTTCCTTCCAAATCCCTTCCACATCAGCATTCACCCCAACATTCAAGACCACTTTCCACTGAAATAACAAAGACAGACACGGAAGGATACACAGACAGCAAAGTGATCTCATACGCCTCTTTCTATTTTTTTTTTTCAAAATAAGGAAACAGGCTAAAAAGCACCGAATGGTTCTTACAGTGTAACTGCACGGATGTCAGGGACTATTACGTTTACAGTCCGTCAGATGTCTCCTCTCGCGTGTTCCTCTGTTATAGAGCGTGACGTGACTCCCTCGTGTCTCGAGGAACGCACGCCGAGAGAATGCACAGCGAACAAGAGGGTAAGAACTCACGTGGAGGTGCATGTCGAGTTTGATCAAGAAGCTCTGTCGATACAGGGACGGGCAACATGCTGAATGGCCGTGATTACATTCATAGAAGGGGTACGAGATTTCTCTTTACTTCAAAGCGTTCAGACCGGCTTTGGGGCTCACCCAGTCTCCAATACGAAGGGTTCCGTGGGCTATTTCCCCGGGGGTATAGGGGCCAGAGCGTTAAGGTAAATAGGTAAAATTGTCCCTGTAACAGACCGTGGAGGCCCACAGGGTTTGAGACGTCGAGGCTCCCACATTTTATCTAGACAATCGGCTCACAGATGGCGGTGAGAATGTCAGCCTTACACACCGGCTGCCCTTTACCCCCTCATATGATTCCTGGTACTCATTTCCGTTAGAGGCTAAGTCGACTCCAGGGCCATAGTGTCACTGGAAGGATTAGGTCAATTGAAAAAAAAAACTCATCGGGACCCGAACCCGCGACCTTCCGGCTTCTAACAAAGTGCATCAATGAAGTCACATCCATATAGTGCCGAGGTCGAGAATGGTGGAGCTATACCTCCCGTCCCCCTTCACTTTCATGGTGGGGTGCTTAATTAAGCAGATAAACAACTTCATCTATTTACTGCAAATGTAGCAAACATCTGAAGGCTTAAAACAAATTAATAACACCAGGTAATGAAGCAATTGCGACAAATATTCGTATTTTTAATTTCCTGATTACATATTCTGCAATATATTTATGATCATATATGTACACACCAGAGGATGGCCACCCATGGTCGAAACATGTAGTGTCTAATATAAGGTACTGACTAATCTATTGATATGTTCAATTCAATCGCTTATTATATCAGAATCAACGTACCGTGTGTGACAGAATGAAAAGCCCTAAATATCAATACAATTACAGGGTACGTAAACCTCTCTATGCTAACGGACTTATGTAGATCCACCACTTTCATATCGAATATCTTATTGATGCTGACATGAACAATATGCCTTTGCTGTTTAACTACGTAAGATTACGTTCTGAACTAGTGCAACAAGTTGTTTAATGTTAGGTTTGGAACACATACTAATTTTAAATTTAGGAATAAAGATCCCGCTTGAGATGATGATCCAATTGAGGGATAAACTGGCTACGTGACAATGCAGAGACATTTATTAGTAATAAAGATGACCCATAACATGGGAACAAGCCATGTGAAATTCTTACTGCATTAAAAGCAGAATTTTACAGTTACTGTTTCCGGACATTATCCATCGTCCTATTTTGTAATCGGGGGCACGAGGTAGCCTAGATGCTACAAGCACGAAGGTCACGGGTTCGATTCCCGATGAGGTCACTGGATTTTTCAATTGACGTAATCCTTCCAGCCGCATTATGGCCCTGGGATCGACCCAACCTCTAACAGAAATGAGTACCAGGAATCTTCCTGGGGGTAAAGGGCGGACAGCGCGTAAGGCTGACCTCACCGCCATCTGTGAACCGACTGCCTAAAAAATGTGGGAGCCTCGACGTCTGAAAACCCTAAGGGACGACACTGCCTGTTACGGAGATATCTTTACTTTTTTACGTTTTTTTATTTAAAACGTTTTGGAGACTGGATTCTGTCTCCGTTTTCAAACGGAGCCTACTCACTTGGGCCCAGTAATACATAGAAACACAATAATTGTAATAATATACCATCGTGACAAACTTTTAGATCTAATAAACATAATCTTGTTTATATTCCCGACGCCTTTCTAAGCGTCTGGTATTTCAATCGTAGAATTACCTTGGGATCCTGCAACAGAGCGTC